GTAAGTCTGCGATCAAAGCGGGGTTGAAGGGGAATGTCCAGCGGAGGAAGGTCCAGAGGGTTTGGTGACTGATGATCCACTGGTTTGTTCACTGTATTGCCAGAATCAGGAGGTGGGGGTTGGTTAGAGCCTGGACTTGAGATAGGCCAGGGAAGCTCAACTATTACTGGATCTGATGGTTTGGATAATGGTGAACCGTATGGGAACTTTGAGTCGATGAATGTTACATCTCGAGATTTCAGAACTGATCTTTTCTCCAGGTCCCACAGACGATAGCCATTGCCGTCGGAGAGGTAGGAGAGGAGAATTGAGGCTCGTCCTCGCTGATCCAGTTTCTTGTTGGTTTCTTCAGGCATTTTGTAGTAAGTGAGGCAACCAAAAGGATGTAGAGAGTTGAGGTCAATTGGGGGTAGTCCAAGAATTGAGTTAGGTGGTTTGAAACCTAGAGGAGTGTGACAAGGAATGTGATTATGCGCGTGGAAGGCATGGCGAAGGGCATCAACCCAGAATGATTTAGGAAGGTGAGCACTAAGAAGCGACGAGCGAATTAGGTTGCTGATTGTGCGGTTGGTGCGTTCAGCTACTCCATTGAGTTGAGGGGAATGAGGTGGTCCGGGCTCGTGTCGGATCCCTGCCTTCTCAAGGTAGTTCTCAAAGTCTTTAGCCATGTACTCACCTCCATTGTCGGTTCTCAGAGACTTAATTGAGTGGTTGCTCAGATTCTCGAAGGAGGCACGGAAGATTTTGAAACATGAAAAAGAGTCGGATTTGAATTTCATCGGATAAAGGAAAACAGCCTTGGAGCAATCATCGATAAAGGAAATGAAATATTTGTACCCTTCACGCGACTGCACTTCATAAGATCCCACATCTGAGTGAATTACCTCCCCGGGTGTGGTGGCTCGATAGGCGGATCTTGTCTTGAAGGGTTTGCGGTGAAGTTTGGATTGTAAGCAAATGGTGCATTGTTGAACATCAATCTCGTTTGATACTGATGGTGTGATTCCGTGTAGCTTGAGTAGCCTCTTCAGTGGCTTGAGTCCTATGTGGGAAAATCGCCAATGATATCCAAGCAGACTGTTGTCAACAGTAGCCAGGCTTGCACAGACGGGTGGGTTAGGAGAGGATGAGATTGAAGGAGAGCTCACAGGCTCAGCCGGGAGGTAGTACAGGTTTCCCCGTCTGTATCCTCTGCCAACTACTTTGCCAGACGGATGGAAGTCGGGAGTCGAATAGATATCGCAGGATTTGGGGTTGAATACCACAGTGAGGCCTGCATCACATAAGCCGGCTATTGAGAGGAGTGGTTCCGCAAGTGCTGGGACAACAAGGGTAGTAATTTCCTTGTCGAGGTTGATGGGAAGTCTTGAAAGCCCTTTGTGAGTGGCCTCTACAAGAGAGTGGTCGGCCAGGCGAACAGGAGTTCTGTCGCGCTTGAGAGACATTACTGATGACAGGTCCGGTGTCATAGAGACAGAGCAGCCTGAGTCCAGATTAGCGTCACCAGAGGGTTGCATGTCCGTGGTTGAGGATAAGGAGACGGCCGCTTGGCCTGCCGTGACTTCAACTTCAGACCCTGAGTAATCGGAGTCGTCATCGTTGTCGTCGCCCGCTCCGCCGAGAATAGCTGCAGAGGTGCGCCCAGCTTTTGCGACCGTGTCAGGTTTGGGGCGATTTCTGTTGTTGGAACGGCCAGATGAGTTGTTGCTGTTTCCGGCCGAGGTGTTTGACTTGTGTGAGTTGATTAATCTCGCGACATGGCCGCATCGGTTTAGGTCATGGCCATCCATGTTGCAAAATGTGCAATGACGGACCGGTTGACCAGGAGGCCTAGCTTTGCCTTTGGATGAGGGGTTTGGTTTAGCCGAGGCAGCAGATTCAGGAGCGGTGGCATCGTCCGCGCGCGTTTTCCGACGAAGGTGTTCGGCTTTCAGAGCATCGATGAGTTTGGTAGGACTGACTCGCTGTTCGTTCATCATGGACGAAACGCACGAAAGCCAGTCTTGGGGTAGCGAGGTGAGGATCGAGGTTGAGTATATGTCGTCCGGAGTGAGAGGAGACTCATCCGTAATGAGTGCGCTCAATCGCTCAAAGGTCCGAGCCATTTCTTCTAAATGCGTAGGTAGATCATCGTCCGTCATCCTGGACATGGTTAGCTTACGAAGCCAATACATGACTCCTCCAGCGGAGGAGTCTTGATGAGCTCGCTTGAGAGCGTCCCATAAGCCTCTCGCATTGTTCTTCAGGTGACGGACGTTCCTGATGTTCGATGGATGAATCGTACGAGAAATGACGCCGCAGACAGCCTTGTTATCTCGCGTCCAGTTCTTCTTGAGTTTCGCGTCCTCTTCTTTGTCGCTGATGATGTAGTCCACGTCGGTCGCAGCAAAATGGATTTCAAGAATCCAGCTCCAATCTAGGTAATTGGAGTCTGCGCCAGGAGGTTTCAGTTGCTCAACTCCGGTTAGTTTGAGGGCTGGATGGCCCGCTACATCGGGATCGGTTGAGGTAGACATCGAATGTGTTGGCGAGTCGATCGAGGTGGCGACAGCGGCTGTCGGATTAGTTGACAGAACGGGAGGTGCGGTTGGGGGTGTGGTAGATAAACTATATTCTGATTTGATGCAAGGTGATGGGGGTGAAGTCATGTATTGTGGGCGCTTTAACGACAAGCGTACGGATCCTTATAAGCTCTCAGTGTCCTGTAGTTGATTCGTCGAGTGCGTAGTTATAGCGCAATGGTGCTCATAACCTGATGAGATCAACTGGGACCAGTAGTGAGATGGTGGAAAGGATGATTCATTACTTCAGTGATGATTGATCATGAAAGAGAAAGAAAGAGAAAAACAGAAAGAAAAGAAACAGAAGATGAAGAAATGACTTACCTGGGACCAGTAGTGAGATGGTGGAAAGGATGAGGAAAGAGATCCTTCCACGAGCTCACTGCTGACCCAGGTGTACAACATGAACTGTAACATAGATGTGACAGGTGTGTAGCATACAAAAGAAAAGAGAGTGAAATGGAACATGACAACTCAACAGGGAGTTGGCTCTCCATTTTTTGGGAGTTGTTTAACCAAGCCCCTTTGAAATTATTTTGAAATTATTTTGAAAAACTTTTGAAAGGATTTTGAAGTTCAAAGTTGGCTATAGATTTGAACTTTTTTCTTTTTCAAAAGTGCTTCATGAAAAGTCCTCAAGGAGGAGTTTTGAGCAATCAGAAAATTTATCTCCTTGATCATACAACTTTTGAAAAAGAACGGTTGAAAACCGTTTGATCATTACATAGCTACTCCCATGCCCCAGATGGTCAAGACCTACGGCAACTTGAGGCTTCCACAGTCAAAGGTTTGCCAAGTCCAAGTGGGTCTTGCTGTAGGCTTCCACAGTCAAAGTTTCGCCAAGTCCAAGTGGGTCTTGCTGTAGATCGTTCCATGAGAACCAGTTGAAGTCGGCCAGAGACATACGGAAGAGCTCAACAAACCTGGCCGCAGGTATTCGTTTGTCTTTCCATGGTTCCCAGTGATCCGGAAGCTTGAACACCTCACATCCCGCTTGAATATAAACCTATTGCGCTCTTGAGATTGTTGAACAAAGAGAAAGTGCCAGAGAGCTACTCCTTGGAGAAGAGATTCATTGTTGTTGAGATCTATGCAGCCTCTTGTCAAGGAGTGGACTCTCCGCTTGTGGACTCAATACAAGCAATGCAATTTTTTTCATTGCCACAATTGTACGACTGGGTTTATGACTACTGGATGACTTCCCGTCAACATCTGCGGGGCTCCCAGTTTTGATTTAGAGCCAAAAAAGCTAGATTTCCCTGCAAAAATTTAGACTTTTTGGGTCTAAATCAAAAACTGCGAGGGTCCCAGATTCAACGGGAAGTCCTCCACTCCCAGCTTTTGAAAATATTTTGAACAGTATTTGAACTACAAAAAGCTTTATTTTAAGTTCAAAAAAAAACATCACGCTATGATAAACCCAGTTAATAGTTGTAATGGTTGAGGACCTTGCGAGCATACAGTTTTTGAATGCCTTGAGGTACCCCGGCAATTTTCGATCACGCTCGTCGGGGAACCTTCCAAAGCTACAAAATAAGAAGGATGGTTAATGGTTATAGTGGGCAACAAAAAGTGATTACGATCCTGATTGATGAAAACGAGCTACAAATTTTTTCTTTACCTTTCATGCAACTCCTTCATTGCATCATCGAACGTCACACAATCCTTGGCACTTTTTGCTTTGGTGAACGCGCTGGTGGCTAATTCTAATGCGGCCATCTATTTGACCAAGCTTGGCGGCTGTGCTTCTCTTGCATTGCGATTACCCTGGTACGCGCGCACAAGCAAAAGCATGTGGTGCATGTCAGTCTTCCCACCTGTTTGAATCAAAAGCAGAAGGATCTCACATGAGTGAGTACACTTACTTGGTCCTCACTACGCTTTATAATAAACCCCTCCAGAGCCTCTATGTATCCTTCAGAAAAAGCACAATAGGTAATCTCGAGAAGAAGTCCAAGATTCTCAAACAAGACCGTGGCATCCGGCTTGGTGGTTGGAAGTATCTCGCTTCAGCTGTAGTTCCCGTTTGCATCACATGCCCAGAGCTCCAAAGGGTCGCGTGAGTATAAAATACCACGGAAGGTTTTAGATCGGAGTCCCTTCGATGTGTTGCTACATTTTGCAGCTATGTATTGGAATCGGGATAACTTGCGCGGTCAGTGGCCTTAGAATATTTGGAGTCATACATCTCATGAGTTGAGCAGCATCGTCCCTTGTTGCCGCCTCTTTTCTCGCTTTAGTGACCAGAAGGATGTGATCGAGTGCCGTGTAGATGAACTCCGACCACCCTCCTGACGCTGATACTGCTTCTGGCAATTTACCTTCGCCGTCGTTGTTTATCTAAAACTCTCAAAATTCTTCAATGGCCCTCAATAACACTTGGTTATGAGTCATCTGATGACGAGTGTCTGCATGGCGGCATCCTCCTCCTCCAAATAGGAAAAATTCCATCCCAATCAAATCATATGAGAATATTATGAAGATCGAACGTGCAGTAAGAGGAATCTGAATACAAGGTGTGTTGTTTGCTCAATTAGGATTATTTTTTTCAGATTATCTATTTGTATACAAATGGTCGACTTAACCAAGTAAAATTTGGCCATACCTATGTATACATGTAGTTTTAAAAAATAGATAAAGGTGGAGAATCATCTCAGTTGAAAACCAACATGACCACAGATGGAGATAAGCATAAACGCAATGGGTATGATATGGAGCAAAAAATGATAATCATAATCGAGATTGCCCCCAGAATTTCGATTGACAAATTTCCCATAAGGTTCAGGAGAAAAAAAGTTGAACAAAAATTAAAAACAGATTAGAATAGGTTTATCGTTGCAAATATTTTCAACAATATCATCCAGATGCCAAAATGAAACCAAAGCGTTTACACGGGTCAAAAAAGGAAGAAAAAAGAGGAGAAAAGCAGAAAAAAAAGGGAGGAAAAGGGAACAAAAGGAGATACTGACCCGAGCGACGATTTTACCGGAGACTAAGCCGATAGGCACGGGGCCATAAGTACGCGAATCGATACTAACGGCATAATTATCGCCTTGTAACCACAGATGACCCTGAGGGATAGTAAGGAGAGATTTATGAGAGTACTGGTAGTCGAGTTCTGGATGGAGGATCGAATCAGCAGTAATTTGATTGAAGTGATGAGGGAGATCGTCGACGAGGATCTGATCCCCTGGCAGTCCGATGATCCTTTTACAAGCCAACACGGACGGGTTCGAAGGCGAGACAAAGTTGACCAGGTCGCCTCGGTTCAAGTTCAGCCGACTCGTCGTCGGCTCGGCTTCGGCTGTCTTCTTCGCTGTCCTCGCTCGGTCTCCGCGTAGGCTGTAATTCAAAACCGATGAAAGCGGGATTTGCAGTAGTAGATCCCCTGTCACGTTCAGTGTCGGTAGCATCGATCCTCCTTCGCACTGGATCGAATCAAGGTTTCATTAGTTATTTTTTTGTTTTGTTTTGTGCGAGATGCCAGGTGGACGCAGAAGACATTCATCAAGAAAGATGATATGCCAGCAGATTATGATTTTTTTGTAGGAAATCAACAAAATGGTCAGTCATATTATCATTTTGCTTGACAAGATTTTACACAAAAAGACGACCGACCCATCGGAGATCTCCGACTTTGTCCTTAAACAGACTGACGCCTGCGGTCACCTGAACAGCGCGTCTGAGCAAATTATAAGTCCGAGATTGATCAGCGATCCTGCCTGGATGAGATCACCTCAAAGAGGGCGCAGAAGGATGACCTACTTGACGAGATGAAGGGTGGTCTTGAAGGTTGAGGCGCTGTTCATCTGTTCGCCCGACGCTCCAAAAGGCCAATGAAAACCCGATGGTTGGCAAATTCTTTGTCTATGGTACACGCTATTCGCCTCCCGTGTCGAGTTCCTCCTCGTAGGCCAAAAAAGTGACTACAAAAAGCGAATATCAATCGGGTCAGTAAATGTGATGACAACCCAAAATAGAACAAACTCACAGTGATCGTTTGGCTGAACCAATTGTTAAGTTTGTTTTGAGTTTTACAGCTGGCCGAGGGCTGCCCGGCTGCCCGGCGTCAGCGTGACGGCGGTGGAGACTGGAGTGGTTGCATCGGGGACACCCCGGGAGTCTCGTAGACTTGAACCCGGCGACTTTCAGCTGAAGGCCGAGAATTGGGACGATATCCTCATCTCCGACTACTGTATTAGGATCACTCAGAAATCTAATAAATAACCGAGGAAACCAAGCTAGAGGCCGTCAAGGAAAAAGAAAAAAAAAAGTCAACAAACGATGATGGACTCCGCAACGTTACTCGAAAGCCTCAAGCTGCCTCTGATCGGAGGCGCGCTCTTATCGCTATCGAGCATGAACCTGATGCTCGACTTCAGCAAGGTCTTCGGCTGTTCCCAAGCGCTCAAGAGTCTCCAAGAATCTTACAAACTCATCCGTTTCCATTACTTCCAAAGCAGTAATGCTCAAAGCAATAATAATCACATCTTATTCAACCATCAGAACTTGTTCATAGCTGCCGGCTTGGCTCTCAGCGGCTCCTTCCTCAGACTGTTCATGAACTTTATCGAGCGCAATCTCACGCACAACGAGCGATCCATCTTCGATTCCTCTCTGCTCTCTAATCATGTCCATCACTCCAGAAGCGATGATCATCAGGTGCTCAAGAATGTCTTACTCTTTACGCTTGCCGGGTTACTGTCTGGTGCCGGAACTACTCTGGCCTCTGGCTGTACATCTGGTTAGTTTGTATTTTCACGCCTTTTCTGTTCGTTTGTCTGAAAACTTATTACTTTTTCTCCTCTTGAATTTATTCACTGCAGGTCATATGTTATGTGGAATGGCGCGTGGTAGCAAGCGAAGTATTGTGGCCACCTGTGTCTTCTTCCCCGTCGCGATCCTCACCCACCGAGTTCTCAAGCCACTATTGGCCCAGATCGGAGTCTTTTCGCAATCAGACTCGATGTACCAAGAGTATTCGGAATCCGTCTCAACCATAGGCTCAGACCAGGTAATTTGCGGAGCGATATTCGCGGCCCCATTCATAGCTTACCTCGTCCTCAAATTGGTGGTGAAACCCGAGCGCTGGATTCCGTTACGGCTTGGCCTGCTTGGCGCAACCTTCGGCTCAGGACTGACTCTCTCAGG